TCTGGTGACCGTGGCGCTCTCGTCGAAGTTCCGACGAGCGAGTGCCTCCTCCACCCCGATCTGCCGTTGTCTCCGCCCCCGTACATCGGCCGCGGCCCTTTCTTGGCTCGGCACGCATTGGATACTGGCCTCTGTTCTCTCCCTCCTGACCACAGTCCACGTCGTTCTGTACTTGCCCTGGCTCGTCGTTCTCGCGGTGTCGGCTGGCTTCATCTTCCTTGTATGCGCAAGTTTAACTCAGCAGACGACTTCCGTGTCCATTCTTCCCACGAAGACCATGGAACTGACCACTCCGCCAAACAAGCATATCCGCATTCTAGAAGTCGAGGTATCATCCCCCATCACCTCTGGTCAGTCGTATTACTTCAAAGTAGGCGAAATCCCCGTACGTGCAGCCTGGATGAGAAGAGACTTCAACAACGGCACCAAGACGTCCAAGTACACTGCAGTACTGTTCGCTCTCGTCGATGCGGAAGCCCCTAGTGAACTAGAAGTCCGCGGACCTTATGTCATACCACTCACCCCTGCGATCGCTACAGACCAAACTCTCGATATCATCACCATGGATAGCGGTGTGGTAGAAGCCTACCAGATTCTTGCATGGCGGGGTGAGCTTACCAAACACAAGGAGAGTACGTCGCTCTTGTGGTTGAATGAGAGCCTGGACGTGTTGAGGGCCTCATTCGCCCACGCTGGCTTCGGTAGTCATGCCGGCATGCAGATAATCTGCTATGGCAGAAGTTACCAGTATTTCCGCGACAATGAGAAAATCAGAGTGACACACGACCTCGCACCCGTAAACGGAAATCTACCGAAACGGAAGGGCGACCAGGGTCTTGCCGATGCCTTGGATGAGGCCATGCGTTCCGGTATCATAAGATTGTCTGCTGAATCGAACATCGAAGACGTGCTCCGGGAGTCTGTACCAGGGAGTAAACACTTATACGGTAAGCTCTCCTTCCCATCAGATCCTCTCTATTGAAGACTCAAGCAGTACGCAGCGGTTGGAGAAAACCTGAGATCCTTCGGCCTGCGTCCCAAGCGGCTCGACTTTGACGGGAAGCCCATCGAAAGTCTTGACGTATGAGGCTAGTCTGTGGCGCGCTACGTGATATCTTCTCCTAGGGAAAAGTGATCAGCACCACTGTGGCGAGGGCACTGGTTTTCTTCGATACGCATCTTATACAATCTCCACCAGCACCGTGCAGCCTAAGCGTGACGATAATGGTCCGAGAGCCCTGAATTGTAGGAGATAACGTCGGTCTGACACCGCTGAGAACTCACTCACGGAACGATCGTCTTAAAACGATAATCTTTAGAAGAGACCTCTTAGCCGTAGTGATGTTGAAGGTTCTATCGATCTACCGAAGCCCTCCCCGAACTGAAAGCTTCCGTCCATTCAACGCTCTATCTCTGGAGGAGCAGTGTCTGTTTCGAACGCCTTCACTGTTCGAACGCCTTCACTGTTCGAACGCCTTCACTGTTCGAACGCCTTCACTAAGCCTCGAGTGCAGCAGGTTAGTTGCTACCCAACGTAGATTCGTAAGGGCCTGCTGGTATTGCACTCCTAAACCATCCTTCCCCGAGTACCATAGTGAACAAGTCTATAAAGCCTTGGGGTATTTCAATACGGATGGGCGAGTTTGCGACTGAGATATGAGGAATGAAACAGTGGGTGACGTGATCAGATTTTTTCTTGTTTTGAATTCCAGCGGGAGAACCTATGCTTGTGGGATGATCGGAGCAGGATTCGAGCATCTGAAAGAAAAGAATAGATCGAGGGGGAAATCGCGAAATTCGTTTCATTCATAGTCGTTATCTGAAAGTACTAAGAAGGCTCCTATCTTCAAACATTGCCTGGCCTCGCACCGTTGTTCTGCCCAAAAGCGTTGCCCCAACCACTCTAAGTAAACGGTGAGGTAGCCTATGAGCGTACGGATGAGGCCGAGCACAGTAGTCATCACTGAACGATTGATCCCTTCCTTGTAATAGCTGGTATCAGACATCATGCACCCGCCGTCGTGACAGAGCGTGCGACCACTCGTACAATCATCAGTATATTGAGTAGTCAATGCCTTCGTCAGATTTGTCGCTCTTTGGCACAGCGCCTTTGGCGGCGCACTAGCTCGACCTGACTCCAAGCCAAGGAGCTTTGGCCTCAACACTGAAGCCCTCAGTGTTATCCAGAGACCAATCTGTTCTCATGAGCATGTGTATCTTGTGCATCTGGAATCGGTGGCGTTGTCGTAGTGAAAATTGACGCTATGGGAAATCCAGTCATGGCAACGACGGTCATACCAATCAACGACCAGTACAACATGATGTACTAGGAAGGAGTGGTGTACAGGACGTGGTCCTACGACAGGCTTCCGGCGAGGCCGACGGGCCCGTGTTCAAATGGCTGAGTTCCTGGCAAGACAGCATAAGGAGGCCTTCACAATTTGCCTGAAGGGTCGATGCCTCTTAGCACGGTGCATCAGATAAGGCGGCCACGATGCATAGGAGAAGGTCGGAGTCTCAAGCACGCTAGTTCCCACCAGCTGCGCTCGCCGTAGTATATCGGCAGTCTAAGTGGCTATGTATGCCTGGTTGTTACATTCCGCTTTGCAGACATTGAGAGGCGGACCCTACACCACAAGGCGAAGGGGAGATAGGTTGGGTATTGATTACCAGGCTCCCATCAGTACAGACTGAGTCAATGGTAAGACAACACTGATGTCATGAAGACACCAAGCCTGACCTAGATGGTTTACTAAGAGAATTTTCAGACAAAAGGCAAGTTAGCACAATCTTATAATAAAGACCTGAGCGATCTCTCGGCAGGACTGACGTAATTCGTGAGCAAAGGTTGGCCTTTCTGAGACGTGACACATCTCTCAACGAGCTTCTCCAAAAAGTGTGTCACGTAAGCAAAAACATATTTAAAGCTATTGGAACGACTTGCCTGACATGCTATCGCCTTCTGTCGAAAATGTGGTTTGTAGGAAGCCTAGCCGTGACCCTCTTCAAACAAGTCTCATCACGTTCCCCCGGCCAGCTCAATTCAGTTTCGTTAGTGCGTGCTTTGACCTACTTGAAACTTCTTGAACGGAAGAACGTCGTTATCTCCGAAGGCCTGATCAAAGCTGCCCTTTCAGTCTCTCTCAAGCTCTTGGGCCACCGAGAGGAAACCGATGCCATTGCCCGAACGGTTTTCGACTGCGGCACTAGAGCATCCGTATCTGACATGTGTCTTGGAGACATTATTTGGGCCAACGAAGTGTACTTGATGCACGCTCTGGACTATGACCTCTACCAAGACGACGGATGGGACCTATGTTTGGCATACGAAAGTGCCCTGGACTCATCAGTCGTCACGGATTTATGTCTGCACGGTATCATACAGCTTGATATAGATTGGACTGCCACAGCGGTCGTGGCCGCAATCGAAGCCTGGCACCGTTCAAAGGCGTTGTTGGGTACTCAATCGTGGGACATTGAGAGTGCGAGAAAATGTGCGCATCGGTTGTTTGTACAGCACTGCGTTCAGGAGACAATTGTCTACGAGCTTCTGATCGCGATCATGCTGTTTTCCTCTACCTAATCTTGCGAAGAAACCTGCTTCCGATGCGGGATGGCGGGATTCCGTTATGTACAGTAATACTGCCCTAGTGTAAGGCCGGTAGTCCTTGTTGGAAGGAGAACTGCATATGTACACGTTGAACATGGACGGAGATCGAGGTACGACGTCCAAGCCTCCTCACTTGACGTGTATGATAGATCTTGGCGCTCGTGGGCATCCTGGATCATCTCAATGCAACGACGCTTATGCCAAATCAACTCTGCTCAGTGTATCGAGCACGTTGCTGTCTAGTGCCAGTCCTCACTTTCGTCGTGGTGAGGATCGTGCCAAGTTCCAGCTCTTTCACGCTAGCCTTGCTTCTACAGGGAATATATAGTTATGTTCTTTCTCATAGTCACCACTTCAACCGACGGAGTCAACATTTTGTTGCTCAGTTGGGCCGAAGGTGAGCTAGCTCGTCTGTGTGAGTCGGTCTGTCCGTACCAACGTGTGTTGTTGGAAAGCGCAAAAGGGATGTTGCCGGGTTTCACAAACGACAGTCCTACAATAGACTACCAAGGTCATCGCCAACGATCTGCCATAGAGTCTTTACTTCCGTATCCTAGGCTTTCAAGCCTTGTAGGATAACGGAGTCGTTCCCCGAACGCCTGGCTGGTCAATCCTCGACGATCTCGACATAATAGTACCTAGCGCCGTATCGCACATCATGGGTGCTTCATCCGTGTTCCCGTAACATAGCCATTGTGAACATTAGAGATGAACTGCTGGCTGCTTAGCAGTAAAGCTACTTTTCGACCTTTTGAACGACCAATCTTTGAAGTTCTTCATTCTGGTGTACGTTTTCAGTGTTGTTGTCAGTGTAAAGTGCTTCGAGTAAGCCATTCCAGGGAAACCCATGTTCATCGGGCAAGTTGAGGTTATAACCACTCACTTGCAGAGACATCTAGGTAAGTCGACGACTATTGTTGAGGGCTGTTGTTAAATGCCTTCCTTACTTTGGCTTCGAGGGCATGCTTTCGCAGCTTATGAGCCGACAACAACATTTCCTCCAGGGATCTCGTGAGTATACTTGTGTCCAGCGGAGCTATGCCAGGAGCCGTGTTCCAGCGTTGGCCACCTTCAGATACTCTATCAAGCCACCTGCGCTAATGGTCGCAGCCCGCGGAAGAGGAGGCGGACTATCGATATGGACGAAAACGGCACCCGAGAAAGGCCTTATTATCAAGAAGTTGAATGCGATAAGATTCTTGGATTCTCCAACGTAAGCCGCAGAACGCAAGCGAGCTGCCTCTATTTTGTTTTTATTGAATCTTAAGGGACCCAGGTTTCCTCAGGAATTGCTGGTGGCCAGGCTCCTCTCTGCATCTTGGTAGTTCATCAATTTTATGTTTTGACATCGCCCCCGCAAGCCAGTCGAAGGATGTCATGTGGCATTGATCGGCAAACACGCCTCACAAGAGATAGTAAAAGGCGTGGGAATTTCTGAATGACCCGAATGATATCTGTGCCTCAACAGCTGGTTAGAGCATGTCAAGCAGCTCAAGACTCTGAACATCGAGTCGAGACGTGGGCTGATAGCGGCATGACCTCCGACTGTGTGGGTCTAGGTAACCCGAGGGGTCATTGTCGGGATCACGTCGCATGCTAGTGGCCCAGTGTCTGCCCTAATCAGATGGGGGGTCTTCACGAGTATGATATTAGTGGACGGCGTCGATGTAACTTCTCTAATAGCTGTAGAGTGGCGTATGCGCCGTACATGTCAGACAAAACTCGTTGAAACGTCCCGTTGACTTGTGTAAGGTAGATGCATCACATGAAGAAAGGCTGTTGCCTATTTGAACCATTTTTCGCTGCACGCGCGCAATGATATCTCTCTCTCTCTCTTTCTCTCCCTCCCTCCCTATGGTATATTCATCCGTATCAAGCTTCATACGTGGAATTATGAGCTTTGGGACAGAAACACAAGCACATGATGCTATCGAGTCCGAAATCTGGGACCACCACCAAAGCAATTTAGTAATTCTGTCCGTCAGTCTCAGTTACGATACGGTAAAAGCCACTTCGTTCAGTTGGCCGCAGTGGATTTGAACCTTCGAAATAAGTGCATTGCGGATTGGGCGTGAACGTTCGCGATAAAAGCCGTGACGAAGGTCAGAAATGCATCTTCTATCAGCATTGACTTTTTAATAATGATAATTCGATTTTCTCCGTACCATCAAGGCGATGGATGATGAAGCAACTCAAAGGACGGCTAAACAGCTTTTGCCATTTTTCATGCTACCTTTGTCATGTGGAAGTCTCGCGAGCCGGACCTCTCCCATGCACCCCTTGATTCTGATACTTGGATCTGCCGGCCCATCCTTCATCAGAGTCAAATGACAGATCAACCTTATTTAAGAGCAAACTATCGAGTTTATGTGCCCAATCACACACACTGCAGGCGATAAATCTTTTTGAAGAGTAAATGAACATACTCTCAAGACCTGGTCAATGCCCGTCACAGAACTATGTGGTAGGATGAAGTTTATGCACAATTTTCAGCACTCTGCAGCTTGAGCTGTCTTTCTATGCCACCTGGATAGTATTTACGGAGGCTGCAAAAAATGACCATTTGTCAGTCTCTGCATGGAAGAGAGAGTGGAATCCCGGAAGCGGATAGGTGTTGCTACCCACTGTGGCCGTTAGGCAATGTATGCCTACTTTGAGAGTTCGATGTTACTTGCCGTCGAACTTACAGTCTCATCCATTATCTTGGAACTGCATTGACAATTTTCTCCAGTAGATTCAAAGTAAGCAATCTGCTTTTTGACTATGGTTGGCTGCTCCAAGTATCTGTCCAGCTATGTTAGACAAAGCTCAGCCTAATATAGTACGAATACACGTCTCCTTGCTCTGTATCAATATTTATCTAGGAGCATCTTATCAAAATTCGTCCAACGATCTGGGGTTTGTTAGAAAAACCGGAGGGCGGGAGGATTGAGGACCCCAAACGATGCGACGGCAATAAAGCTTATGGATTATTTATGACCTTGTATAGCCGTTGAATTAAATCATTTTCTGCGTTTCAGGCTGTCGTCATCATGGAAGAACGGCTTTCCCACACAAAGCTGGCTTTTGTCAGTCAACTTCGTGTTTTATACGTTCATCAAATACAACAAGTCGATTCGCGTCTATATACCTTCGGCCAATCGATTTATTCCAACATAATGTCGCAAACTCGGCATTTCAAGGAATCTTTTGTAGGAAAGTCCTAGTACTACGGGCGTATAGCGAACCCTAAGAATTAACATGTTTCTCAACAGGAAGATTCGGTTTACAACTCTATACTTCACATAAGTCGTCTAACCGTATGACGGCCGAAGGTAATCGGAGCGGAACCGTCCGGCGTTCTTTTAGCAGAAGGACTTGCTAAAGAACATGTTGGCATGGTGCTGGTTGAAGCCGCCGAATTAGCACGTCCGTATCAGAGAAAATGAGATTCAACTTGTTTGTTTTCGTCGTAATCCCTAACATGCCGATGACCTTTGGCCAGTGCAGGTATCCACGAGACGCAAGAAAATTGAGGAGATATAGGGCTTTGGGGATAAACAAGCTGCCATCGGTCGTGTACCGGCAGGAACGGTGAAGTTCTGTTCGGATAAACTGCATTGGTGTTTGTAAGCCGTTCAACCACGACCAAACTCTCGTACGATCGATGCCATGTCGAATGAAGAATTCCACTTTTGACCTGAAAAGACTCGGTACTTCTTCGTCAAGAGCATTATACCAAGCCTGTGCGACGATGTAGGAATTCGCCTCACTGTCAATATCCGCACCAGCTTCGAGAAGGAACTTCATCACTTCAGATGAATGAGCGTCCGCTTTGGCAGCCTCTATGAGGGCGTAGTCAAGCTCTCTCTGGTATTCAGCAAGGTTTGGTTCACATGCGACCATGTTCTGGTCCCGGCAAACTGGTGCGGCAAGCTTGTTAAGAATCTTCTCCATTGCCATTTTTTTCCAAGCCCAGAACTGCCGCTCCAATGAGTAGACGCAATTGGGATCATACCAGAATCCGATGTGGAAGCGACTGCCTGCCGCGAGCGCTAGTGAGCCGAGCAGAGCGAAAGTACCATTTGCAAGCCAATCGGTCGTTTTCTGGCAAGACGA